AAGAATATTTGCTAGAAGGGGCCTCAGGTTCAAGGCCAGGGGTTCTCAACAGAAGAGGGAGTAGTGAGAGGAGAAGAGGGTGTCAGGGCTGTGTATTGGGAAAAAACTCTGACACCAGCTCCCTAGGGGAAAGATCCAGCCCAATCCCATCTTCTATACATGGGGAAACTGAGGCCCAGAGAAAGGAAAGAGGCTCCCCAACAGGGGTGTCCTCTCCTGGGATCAAACCCTCTTGGGGACAATGTGCACGTGAACTGTGCACGTGAACTGTGCACGTGAGCCGGCGGACTGAACACCCCCTGACACAAATGGCATAAAGTGCTCCTACTTTTTCTTTGTCTTTCTTTTTCTATCTTGATGCAAAGTTTGCAGAACAAAGAGAACCACATCTTCCACTTCATTTTTCATAACTGGCTTGCCGTCTGTCTGGCCCTTTTGTCACCTCTAACAGTGATGGCAGTTCCTCCCCCTCTGGGAGGCAGATGAGGAACAAGCGACGTCCTAATGCCGTATCCAACCTCCCCTCGTGGGTGCTGCCCAAGGGTTGCACGGTGGTGAGACACTCAGCTCCCGGCTAAAGCTTCTTTGTCCTATTTCCTCTTCTCGGTTGACAGTGGTCAGCTGCCCACATAATCAGTCCAAGACCAGCTCCAGAGGGCTCCTCTCGCGATCTCCCCTCTTCTCTCTTGGCAAGATTATGTGCAGGACTGTGTGTGCACGTGGTGATGGCGGGGGGATTGTTTTCGGGGATTCTATAGGGCACCTGGGCACACCTAAGCAGGCCTGGGAGAACGGGAGGGTGGGTGCGGCTATCACCCAGAGACAGGGCCCCCAGGAGCCCTGGAGGCAGAGACAAGCACAGCTGCTTGGTCCAGGTCCAGCCCCAGGCCGGCCAGATGCAAGATGGAGACCCCCATGCCAGGGCTGACCGCCATGCCCTACACAGGTGGATCTGGGTTCGAATCTCAGTTCTGCTGCTTAAAAGCTGCCTAGCACACCAGGCAAGTTCCTGGGCCTCTCTGAGGCTGCCTCCTCCTCTGGATACTGAGAAGGATTTAGCAAGTAACTCCTATGTGCCAGGTACAGTAGCAAGTGAGAAAAAGCAGTTGTGTCCCTGGGGGGAGAGAGAAAGCTGTTAATCAAATTACCACACGAATCCACATGACAGTGCTAACGGGGATGATAACGTACTCCTAAGGCTGTGTGGGGCTGTTGTGTGGGGAGTTTTGAAGCAGTGACTGAATCTGAGCAGAGACGCCCTCAAGAAACACCAGCTGTTACTGTTCCCGCCCCGCAGATGGCATCTCTGGAGTTGAAGAATATTTTATATTTGTTCAGAACTTTAAAGTTTTGAAACCATTTTCCACACACATTAGCTCATCCAGTCTTCCCAATAACCCTTGGGAGGTAGGTGCTCTGTTTTTCCCAATTTTTTGATGAGACGACTGAAGCCCAGAGACGTTCAGTGACTTGTTGAAAGGCTCCAGCGAGGAGGTCCAGGAGTCAAACTTCGGCACAAGTCCGCTAGGTTTTCATCCCTCCGCCATTCAAGGGAAGGGCTGGGAACCGCTCTGAGCCCCGGGACAGGAAGGGCTGGGTATGAGCGGGCTTCCTGGCCTCTCTCTCGGCTCGCGCGCCGGACTGTGCTCCGGGAAGGCCGTCCATCCGCTGCGTGACCGCCCCTCCCTCCCGGGCCCGCGTGCCGGGACCGGCGGACTCCTGGGGGCGCCGGCCCGGGGCCGCGCGTCCTTCCCTCCAGCCCACGCTCGCGCTTCCGAAGGGGCCCGGGCCGGCCTTCTCGGGCCGCGAGCCAGAGGCCGCCGGGCAGGCCGCCCAGGCCGAGCACTCGCCCCCTTCTGGCCCCGGGCGCACCCGGCAGGCGGGCCGCTCGGGCTCCCGGGCGGGCGGCGCCCGCTGCTCTTCCCTCCCAGCGCAGGGAGCCCCAGGCGGCGGGGGACGTGGAAACTGACAAACGAGCGAGCGAAAGCGGGAGAAGGAGGTGCTAAGAAGGGACCGGCGGGCCGAAGTTCCCAACTGGAACTCGAGGGCGACGAGGGTCTCCACATGCCCAGCCCGCCCCGCAATTTGGCTGCTTAGCGGGGACTGTGGGCGGCTTCCCCGCCATACGCCCCATACCAGTCTAAGGTGTAAAACCGGGTCAGTTTAGACTCGGCCTCTGAGAGCAGAGTCTCCCCCAGAACACACGCAACCCTAAAGCATGCGGCAGTCCCACGGCCTCCATGTCTGTAAAACAAGGACAGTGAGGGGAACGTCTCCAACTGGTAGCGCCGCGCGTGAAGGGCGGGTCCTTCAGCCATCCGGCGGACACCTGGCGCGCATTGTTAAACGTAGGTGTGTGGGTCTCCTTCCTGTGGCCTCTCCACCCACCACCACCAAAGGGAACGTAGAGTAGACCCTGCTCAGCAGGTAAGGTACAGTCCCTTTTGTTTGTACAGCGCTTGACAGTTTGTAAACCCTTCCTACACGTATTTCGTGTGAACAGTATGTGAGTCAAACTGCCTGGGTTTGATTCCCGCCTCAGCCACTCACTGGCTGGATGAACGTGGCCAACTTGCTTAACTTCTCCGTGCTTAGTTTCCTGGTCTATATAATAGGGCTGACACTGGAACTCGCCTGGTTGGGTTATTTTGAGGATCAAGTGGCTAATCCGACTAGGGGGCGTGGTCCCTGCACCCCTGTTAGCAGTTATGATTGAGCCCCTGCTGTGTCTAACTCAGAGCCTCCTTCATAGATGAGCTTTCCAGGCCCCTCTCGGTGTCAGAGGGGGAAAAGACGCTTAAAGCAGCACTTCTCAATTTATACCTGCACGCAGCTCCCGGGGCCATCTTCTTAGAAGCAGATTCTGCTTCAGTAGGTCTGGGGTGGGGCCTGACATCCTTCGAGTCTGACCAGCTCCTGCCGTGCTGCTGCCGCCGAGCACCCTTTGAATAGCAAGGTCTTAGAGCAGTGGTTTGTAAACCTGACGCGCGTCAGAATCATCTGGAGGGCTTGTTAAAACACATCGTGGGGCCCCACTCCCAGAGCGTCTCATTCAGTAGTTCTGGGTGAGGCCCCAGCATTTGCTTTTCTAACAGTTCCCAGGTGATACTGATGTCGCTGATGACAGAGAACCTCTGTTTCAGAGCATCTTGCCCCGCAAGCTTACAGCCACTAATAACATCCAGCTGCGGGGTAGAGACCATTAAATAGCCAAGGGCAGCTTCTTGTGCTTTGGGAATTAAAAAAATTGGGGAGGGACCAGCCGGTGTTGTAGTGGTTAAGTTTGCATGCTCCACTTCAGCAGCCCGGGGTTTGCAGGTTCCAATCCCAGGCGTGGACCTACATACCACTCATCAAGCCATGCTGTGGCAGCATCCCACACACAAAATAGAGGAAAATGGGCACAGGTGTTAGCTCAGGGACAATCTTCCTCATAAAAAAAAAATTGGAGGGGCGCCTAAGTTTAGGAGCCAAAAAAACTACCCAATTCTCAGGGAGTTAAGACACTAGAAGGAATGATAAAGGGACAATGTGGATTCTTTCTTAGCATCCTTTAAAAATCAGACAGACAGGGAAAGGCTGCCGTGCTGCTTGAGGACAAAAGGGAACCGAGGCCCCTACGCTCACATCTTCCCATTTGGGGCCCTCTCTCCCCAGACAACCAGGAGAACCGAGCGAGAGTGGAGGGCGGCAGCAAGGCCCGCAAGGAGAGGACGGCCTTCACCAAGGAGCAGCTTCGGGAGCTGGAGGCTGAGTTCGCGCACCATAACTACCTGACCCGGCTCCGGAGATACGAGATCGCTGTGAACCTGGACCTCTCCGAGCGCCAGGTGTGGCCCAGGGGGTCCCCTCAATTCTGGCCAGCCCTTCTTTCCTCCGCTTTCTCATCCCCTTCCCTTCCCACCACCCCTCCCTGAATCTTCTCCCTCCACGCAGTCCAGTGGTTCCCAGCTGTGGCTGTACCTGAGAACCACCTTCGGAGATTTTAGGAACACTGATGTCTGGGCTCCACACCTAGAGATTGTTTTCATTGGTCCGGGATGGAGTCCAGGCTTCAGAACTTTTCAAAGGTCCCCCAGATGATTCTCATGTGCAGCCAGGGTTGGACCTTCTGATCTCATTACTCCCAAACTTGACTGTGCATTGGAATTGCCTAGGTCTTTAAATGCAGATTTAAAATCAGATTCCAGAGCTCCAGGGAGGGGTTTTGCTGTGATAATGAGTGAGACTGGGAATCTGTGTTTCTGATAAGTCCTCCAGGTGACTCGGATGTGCAGCTGGTTCCTGGGCGCACTCAGAGAAACTTCCTAGCCCTTTGTTTGGGGCTTTCCTTCAGAGCACTCCACCCACACCCATGCTCTGACGTGGAGTAAAATAATATGATAATAACAGCTGATAGCAGCTTGTAGTTGCTGAAGCACTCTGCCAGAGTGAGGATCTAGAATCCGAAGACTTCCATTCAAATCCTGCCTCTACCGCTTCCTAGCCCTGTGACCTCTGGGACGTGTCTCCTAACCTCTCTGGGTCTCCATCTGTAAAACAGGGTCATAACCCCACCCTGCAGTAATGCAGACGCTCAGATGAGAGAATGTGCAGACCAGAGCTGTCTGAGCTGAAAGGTGCTTTGTAAATGTGCCTAAGGATGAGGCTGGTGATCCTCTGCTCCCAGACCCTTGGGTAATAGAAGCCAGAGGGAAGGGGTGTTGCACAGGATGGGGGGGGGGGCATCTGAGAGGGGGGGGGGCCCATGCAGAGTGACTTATAGAACCGTTCCCAGGTCTGTCGGCCTTTCTGCATCTGGAGACACAAGACAGGCCTCTGGGCAGATTGGTGTGTCCTCCTTTGGTCTCAATTCTTGGAGCCTTTGGAGAAGTGAGGAGGGGCAAGCAGAGATTCGAACTGAGGTCGCTGCAGCTGCACCCTGGCTAGCTTGAGCATCAGTGTGGGAAGCTGGTCTCACCTGCATTGAAGTGACTGGGCTCCTTTGTTTCCTCCGTCAGGTCAAAGTGTGGTTCCAGAACCGAAGAATGAAGTGGAAGCGTGTGAAGGGGGGTCAGCCCATCTCCCCCCATGGGCAGGACCCCGAGGATGGGGACTCTGCAGCCTCTCCAAGTTCAGAGTGAGAGTCTCCATGGAGAATAAAGGACTGAGGACTGAGCCCCCTGCCCACCTCCCCTCCCCCAATCCCAGCTTCACCTTCTCCCACCCCAGGACAGCCTCCTTACATCTCGCAGTGACTCTTGGATATGAAGCTGCCCAGTGCTCCTGGGAGCCTTGAAGTTTCCCAGAAAGTTCTGTCCATCGTTGCTGTGTCTTAGCACCCCTTCCCCAGAGTCTTTGCTTCCCACGCTTCTCATGAAATCACACAGTGGCCTGACTGGACCCGAGTGAATCCGGAGAACAGCTCCAGGGACACCGCTTCTCAGGGTCTCTTGGCCACTACCCACACCTCCTCCTGCCACCTTTCTCCTGCACCAGCCAGGCCTCCGCCAGGTCTGGACACCACCTGACCCGCTGGGAGAGGAGCCTTGGGACCAGCTGGCGACTCGTGAAAATGCTCCAAAAGAAAGGAAGTGACTGAGACACACACACACCCTAGACCACCCTTCCTTTCCGGGCTCTATATCTGAGGCTTGCGGCGGCCTCGGTTCTCCTAAAACCCCAGGGGAAATCAGTGTGAGGAAGGTTGGGGACAGAAACTCAGCTGCTGCAAATCAGAAACAGTCCCTGTCTCCAAATTTGTTGGCTCAGTGGGCAAGTTTATGAGCAGTGGCTGGAAGAAGACAATCAGAAAAGCAGCCTGGTGTAAGTCTCTGTGGCCCACACGGGCCCGTTCACACTGGCTTGGCTGGGTGGGGGAGGATGGACCCAGGAAAGCACCTTCTTCTTCAGGATCAATTCAGGGACACAACTGGGACTATTGAGCAGCACCCCAGAACAACAGAGCAGCTGTTCCTTTTCAATCCGCAATTTCTGAATTGAAAACCTATCCAGGGGCTCACATTGTTGAGTTGAGGGCTGGAGAGTGTCCCCTGTGTTCTGAGAATGGAGAGAGGATACTAGAGCCATGGAACCCTGAAGAGGAAGGTTCTCCCGCTGCAGTGTCCTGTGCTTTCAAAGGACTCTGACTGCAAACGGGGACAAGCAAGCAGTCCCTCCTTCTCCACCGGATGCATCTGAGCCCCTCCTATGTGTTTCACAAATGCTGATATTATGGGAGGAGCTGCTAAGTTTGTGTGTGTGGACTGCCCAGATCCTCTGGCGTGACACTCCAGGACTGATGGCCAAACAGCCTGGGGTGACTGAGACCTCGGGGGAGACCCCCCTGCCGGCCTCAGTGCTCTGTCTCTCAGTACCAGCGGTGCCGCAGAGGAGGTCAGCAGGAGTTTGGAGCTCTTGTATGTAGATTTCAACATTCACGTGTAAAAAGGACCCCACCGTCCCATCCCGAAAGGACAAACGCCGTGGAAAATGATTGCCAAATAAGATGGCTGGTTAGAGCGTGTGTAACTTTTTCTAAAGCATACTTCATATGTTTTCTTAAGATTACATCAAATTAACCGTGCAAGGTCAAGTCACTTAGTAAGAAAACTCTCGGAGAAATAAAATCCATAAAAAAGCCAAGTTCCCAGGCTTTGTTCCTTGCAAAGCTGAGAACAACAGCTCTGTGTGCAATCCTCTGTTGCTCAAGTGATGATCAGCCAGTTTCTAGAAGCAATGAAAAAAGGGAAGAAATCATCTAGAATAAGGTATCCCCCTTTATGTTCTTCAAAATGTGGGGGTGCAAATGTAGTCATTGTCAAAAAAAGTCTTTCCTCCCATGCAGCTGCATTGTCTTCTTTTCCCGTTGTCAAATTTATCTTTCAGTTTTGCTAACCTATGGCTTATAGTCTGAGCTCTGTAAAGAAAAAAAAGATGAACTCTTTTGTTAATAAAGGAATCTTGACCGTAAAGTAATCGTGCCTAATTTTTAAATTCAAAGTTTGGAGAGTTTTGTTTTTCAGGATAAAACAATATACACCAATAGTAATAAAAATGACACAAGAAAAAATGTCCCCAATTCTGCCTTTTTAATTAAAAAAACTTGTCACACCAAAATGTTAACAATGGATAGAACAGAACTGGCTAGAGAGAGGGGAAGGAGGGAGCCAGGAGAGGAGAGCTAGCCAGGATGTGGCACCGAGGCAGTCTGGGCCTAGGGTGGGCAGGGACCAGAAATGACATCATGAGGTGCTGGTAGAGTAAAGCAGATCCACGAAAGTCAAGGTGCCAAAGGGAAGGCTTGGGCTCAAAGCCAAGAAAAAATGACACCCTCAGGCACTGCAACACTCCCTCCTACCTCGGCTCCTGTGGCTTCAAGGGACATCAACCTCTCCTGATTTTCCTTGTCTCCAGAACGTTCCTTCTCTGTCTGCCATGCAAGCCCGTTTCTCAATGCTTTTGCCCTCACTGCTGGTTCCCAAGGTTTCCTCGTTCTGCCCTCTGCCTTTCCCCCTCTTCAGCCTCTCCCCAGATGATCCCACATACCTATATTTTTTTTTATTGCGGTAAAATATACATAACATAAAATTTTACCCATTTTTAAGTGTACGTTCTTTGGCATTAAGCACTTTCACATTGTGCAACCACTGGCACTGTCCGTCTCTAGAACTTTGTCATCTTCCCAAACTGAAACTCTGTGCCCATTAAACACGAACTCCCCCGCCCCCTCCCCTCCATCCACCTTCATTTACACAGTGTTTGTGTTGGGCGCTCTTCGAAGTGTTTTACACGTAAGAACTAGGTTAATTCTCTTAACAATCTTAACACGTAGTACTGCTCTTCCTGTCTTACAGATGAGGTAACCAAATCAGAGAGAAGTTGAGTAAGCCCCTAAGATTTTATAGCCAATTAGTGGTAGAATGTATGATTGGGCCCAATTACTTTCTTCCCTCTCCACTAGGGGAATTTGCTCCCTGACCACTGCCACATGCTGGACCTCCCGTGGTATCCTTCCCACCTCATTGACTTCAGGCTTGTCCGTGTGACCTGCTTTGGCCAATGGAATGTGAGCGAAAGTGCCAGGTGCCCTGTCTATGCAGAAGTTTTAGAGTCATCGTGTGGCTCTGCTGTTGTGCTTTTCCCTGCACCAGGCTGAGATGGAGGTTCCACCACTGGCCTGGGTTCAAGAATGAGAAAGACGTGGAGCAAAGCCAAAGCTGACCCACAAGCTTCATGTATACCAGTGAGGATATAAAAATGTGTTGTGTAGGCCACTGGGATTTGGGGGTCATTTGTCACTGCTGTACCATCTTGTGGAACTGACTACTCCAGTGATGACACTGGGATTTGGATCCTGGCATTCTGGCACCAGGCCCACACTCCCCTACCCGGATCTGGGAGCTTAAGTTTTCATAGTCTTCTGTCTACTGCCCTTTGCCATCTGATGACTACAGGCCCCTCAAACTCAAAATAGCTGAAAGGGAGTCTCTATTCCCCCAGATAGGCTGGCTCCTCTGCTTGCATTCGGAATCGTCTGTTTCAGTTGGCAACACCACAACCTACCCATTCACTCATAGCAGAAACCTGGGACATCTCCTTGGTACTAACCTCTTCGCTTTGCAGAACCATTCAGTCACCTAGTCCTGCCCCTTTCACTTCCTGTGTAGCTATTTCGTATATCCACTGCATTCTTTGTCTTCCCCCAGCATTGCCTTTGTTCAGGCTGTCAACGGCTTTCACTTGAATTAGAGTCTCGGATAGCTCTCCCTCCCTCTGAGCTGAAGCTCCTCAAAGTCCATCCTCTAGAACAATCATGCACACACAGAAATCCAATCTTGTCACCCCCAATTTGAAACCTATCAAGGGCTTACCATCACCTACAAAATGAAGTCCAAAACCCTTCACAGGCCTCCAGGGGCCCCATGCTCTGGCCCCTGCCTACCCCTTCAACCTCGTCCCACCACTGCCTGCCACAAACTCCATGCTCCAGCAATACCAAGCCATTCCCCCTTCCGTATACCCCGCCATGTGATTTCTCTCCTACATTCCTTCGCTCCTTCTCTCCGTTTGGAATGCTCTCCCAGACCTGGACCCCCAACTTACCCATTCCAGGAGCACTTACAGGAACAACTTGAAGGAACACAGAGGAAGTTTTAACATGTAAATACGGCCCAACTAATTTTCAACAGTAGGCCAATGCCTGACATCAGGGAGCAACATGAGCCAATTTCTAAAATCAACAGAAAAAAAAGCTCTCTCAATATGAGAATTTTAATCTCCCCAATAGACACAGTTAATAAGTCCATTGAGGAGAGTCTGATCATGAAATTGAAGGTGCACACACATATCACCCAAGTGTTCTCTGGTTTCTTTTGAACGCTCCCTCCACTCCTCCCACCCTTCAGCCTTGGCGTTTGATCGACCAGTGCTGGGTGAACAGTAGCTGGGACCAGCTGCTCCCCAAGTTGGTAAAAATCCTCGGCTTTCTTTTGGGTGCAAAGCTGTGCCAGGGAATCAAGCCCACCCACTGGCGACTCCCTGATGTGAACCAGTCACTTTAACCAGAGATGGTGGCTTTGTAGGAATCCAGACAACCAAGAATTCCCGGACAGTAACTTTTCAGTAATGGATTCCTCCATCCTTGAGAGAACATCAAGGACGAGCAAGTGTGTGGCTGCCCTTTGGAGAGAGGCAGAAAGATGAAAGAGAGATGAAGCAAGTAGAGAACCCATTTCCAAATGAAAAGGCCTGGGGGCGCTCAGGGCTTCAGAAATCTGCCCACCTGGCTAGGCCAGGCCCTGGGACGGATGCATGTATTTCTGACAGCCCCTATTCAAAGAAGAGAACTGATGTCAGGCAGGAGTCCACTGTTTCCTGTTTGGACCCCAAAGCACCATAGTTCTAGGAGAACCTGTGTTAGGTGGCTTTCTTTCCTTGTATTGAGTGGAAAAGTTTTCCATTAAGAAATAGGTATTCTCCAGCCAGGCCGGGGGCCTGTATCAGCTAATCCCTTACAGTTACCAACGCAGGATTGCCAATGGAGTCCTCTCTTGGCCACCACAGCACTGGGCTCTCACCATGTTCCTTCCCTCACTGGTTGCACCTTCTCAGTCCCGTTTGCTGCAAACCCTGAATAGACACTTTCAAAATATCTCAAATCTATGCCCTTCTCTAATGCCACCACCACCCCCAGCCACTGCTATCCTTCTATCCCTGTCTTCCCATCTTGTGTGGGTTCCTTTATGGCCCTCACCACAATTTATCATTCTTTTATTTGTTGTTTGCTTATTCATTTGTGGTCTGCTTTCCAAGCTGGAAGGAAGAAAAGGGGATGTGTGTCTCTGACCGTTTTATTCCCAGCTACTAGCATGATGCCTGCACCTCATAAATGCTCAATAGGTGGTTATGGTATGGATGGACAGATGGATGGATGGATAGAGGGATGGATGGATGGATGGATGGATGGATGGATGGATGGACAGATGGATGGATAAATGGATGGATGGATAAATGGGTAAATGGATGGGTGGATGGATAGATGGATGGATGGATGGACAGATGGATGGATAAATGGATGGATGGATGGATGGGTAGACGGGAGAATTGTTAAATTAGTGGTATCGCCTGGCTTCTCAGCTCCCAAGTGCCCGTTGCTGGCCATGTGGACCGTGTAGGGGAAGCTCTGGCCCAGAAGCTGGTTAGACTGGCTGGCTTGATGCAGTCCAGGCCTTTAGAGCCCAACAGCACTGGTAGGCCATGCCCTTGCCCAGAACAGGGGCACTAGACACTCACCCTGTTTCTGTGGCCCAGGGAAACTGTCTCTGATTCTGGCCACAGGACTGCCTGCCTGGTGGGACCATGCTGTCCTCAGCTCGTTCTCCTTTAATATTCTCTGCATTGCAGGAAGAGAAATCCCTTACTCCTCATCACCTTCCCTCCCCCAGCTCCTGCCACACACACACACGCACATACACACATGCACACACACACACTGTCACCCTTGAGCCGTGTCAGAAGTCTGAATGAGCCTCTCCCCTTTGACCTGCAGTTGCAAAGAAACAGCATCCAGGGCCTGACCACTGACAACAGCGAGACTCAGAGGCACGCCTGATAAGAGGCTTGTGAGCAGCTTTAGTGTGTCTCTGAGGGTGATGCTTAATAGCTTAAAGGTGACATCAGGGTCGGGACTAATATCCGATTGAACAGAAAGAGACATGACCTAACTCGTCTCTCACCATGGGCCTGGCTGCAAGAGCTTCTCTTTCTTTATTAATTTCCTCACTGGAGCTGCTGGCTCAGGACTGCAGCCTGTCCCCGGAGCTGGGGCCCACGGCTGGGCTTAACTCCAGCATTATTGGGAAGGGAGCAGGCTCAGCCGGTCTGAGAGCCCCTGTGAAGGGCAGCTACCGTCGAGTCTGTGCTCAGCGTGGCCAGAGCCTGACAATTTCCTCTGCCATCCAGCAGGTTTACCATGCTTTGAGAAAAGCCAGTAGGGCAAATTCAGAGTCTAAAGAATTGCTCGCAGTACAGAAGGGAGCTTGCTGCAGCCTTCCCCCAAGCTTCAGGCTTCCCCAGTGCCTGGAAAGGATGGTTTTACTTGCGTTTTTGAAAATGATTTAAAACCAGTTTTCCAGAAACACAAATCCTGTCTAAAGCACCCAGCACACCTGGCTAGAGAGCTGCAGGCCTGTGTCTGAGCCGGCCTCCTGCCTGTTGGGACCACACTCTCCTCAAGTTGTTCCACTTTGCATTGCAGTGGGAGAAATCCTTTACTCCTTACCACCCTCCCTCCTCCAGCTCCCACCACACACATGCACGCACACACACACACACACACACACGGGCTTTGGAGACTGACAGACTAAGGGTCCAACACAGGCTCTCCCATGAATTGGCTGTGTGGCTTTCATCAAGTCACTTAACTTCTCTGAGCCCAGTGGTCTACAGAAGTTGTGGTGCTCAAAAACATTTGTTGA